AGTGTAAAAACCATAACCTACCTCCACCGAAGATTAGTGATCAAGCAAGCAATTTCCCCAGGCTTTGTTCTTCGTTTTCTCCCTTCCTCGTTCGATCCTCTCTCTCTCTCTTTGTTCTTTCTACTTTTCTTATTCAAACCCTCTTTCTTTTACCCTAATTAGCATATAATTAAGAATAAAAGATGGCAATAATAACCCACTAATTAACTTAAGGTTACCTCTTTTAACCCCCAAGTAATTAGACTTATTAGCATTAACCCACTAACTTTATAATTAAAGCAGGAATAGTCCAAAACGCCCCTTAAAATAATTACAGAAATCCGACCCAGTCTGGGATTACGCAGCCTGTGACGGGCCGTCGTGCCTGCGACAGTCCGTCCTGCTGCTCCGTCACAGAGTTCAGAGACTCAATTCTCTGAAGAGTCTGTGACGGTCCGTCACACCTGTGACGGTCCCACTTGCCATTCCGTTACGAAGTTCAGAGAGTCGATTTCAGTACCCACTTTTCAGAATTTCTAAGTGTTTTGAAACGAGATCCCTCGACGGTCCGTCGTGCCCATGACGGTCCGTCATCGGTTCCGTCATCTCAGCCTGTTTTTCCAGAAATAAAATCTGCTGCTCAAAACGACTAAACAGGTCGTTACACAATCTTGCAATTAATTACCTTTTAAAAATTTTCATGGACAAAGGGGCCTAATAAAGTAGGTAAATACACTGAGTAAACCTTTTGAAAGAAAAAAAGAAGATAATTGATTAAGTTTGTGAAATTCCAATTCTTTTTTAAAAAATATCATTTCAAGTTACATACTTATTTCTAAGTTTATTCTCATTTCACTTTTTAAAAAAATTAAGATGACATATCATTTTTAAAATTAGAAGTGACAAAAACAGTTCATTTCAATTCAATTTATTTCAGTGATTCAGTCAAGAAATTTTTAAGCAGATTGATAATTAATTATTAATTAACTCAATTTATTTTGACTCATTTTAATTTAATTAATCCACCTATTTAACGTATTTATTTAAGATAACAGAATTCAAATAATATTTTTTATATATGTTATGTACTAATAATATACTTTTAGTGGTATAATATTATTACTGACAGAAATGTTATGACATTTTATTTTTTTAGAAAAGTCAAGATATGATATGGATTTGGCATGACTACTCTTAATTGTAGGTAGTTGATGAGTTGATAAAAGGCCACGCCCACAAAAAATAAATTATAGAAGACTCTATATAACATATCTAAGGAAATTAGTCGAAAGTGTATTCAACTAGCATTTCACAAAATCATGAGATCATCAATTATGATTTCATTTATACAATCATTTTAGAACATAAAAGAAAAAAGAAAAAATTCAATCAATGTTTAAATGTGTTTGAAAGTTAATTCACTTTTTGTACAATCTCATTACAAAATTGAACTTAATTCATGCATTGCTAAAGATAAATTGTGGAAGTCATTCCACAGTTATGGATACACCTAACTTTATATTCAAGATGGTATGGCATTAATCTGATTTTAATATTTTGGTCACAACATTAAATTATCATTACCCATTATAATTTATAAAGGAGTGGCGGCGGGGGACCAACTAATATTAGTGATAATTTTTTAATTAAATTTAAATTTGTAATATTATGATTTAAATTTACAGTTTTAACCCCGTATATAATTATAAAATAACTATTTCTATTACGACGATAATCATAAAATAACTATTTCTATTATGACTTCATTAACCATTTTTCTCTTTTTTGGAGGTATATCCATTTGTAATTCATAAATTTACTAATCAGATTAATTTATATTCAAATAAGGTAGATTCTATTTAAGAGTAAATATATTTTTAACTAAAAGTAATAATAATTATATTTTTAAAATTCAAATCCGAATACTTTAAGTGAAAATGAAAAAAAATAAAACCTATCCTACCTCACTCAATAACTTCATTTATTATCTATGGGATTGTATATTTAGTATAATTAGATTGGTCTTTTAATTGATTTAATCAATACAAGTAGGGAAGGATTTAAAATGTTCTTCAACTATTTGATTGATATAAAATTATTCTTCATCCATTTTTTAATATATAAATACCCTTTAAGTTTTTACTAAAAAATATCTTCGATATAAATTTTCGGTTTATATTTGTATTTTTCAAAAATAAAATTATTAAATATTTATTTATTGTGTTGCCTGATGTAATTGGTCCAAATTTATATTCTTCTCAAATAAATAAAAATTGCTTATGATTCATATTTTTACCTAATACACTTGAAAATAATATTCAAAATAATATTTATTACATGATATTCGTATTGACTTAATTTAAATCAACTCAAGATATTCGTATTGACTTATTTTAAATTAAGCTCAATTTATTATAGTCAATTCATATGAAATCTAGCTATAATTCATACTCACCTAATTCGATTGTCAATCTTAAAAAAGATTATTATTATTTATTAATATAAAATAATCAATAATTCAATTGTTTTGTTCATTCCTCTTTCTATTCTTCTTTGTAATATCTCATTCTTAGTTACAATATCATGGATTCAAATTGAAATAAATTTTATGTTCATATTTTTTAATTTGTATTATTTTCACGGTGGGTATGGATAGAAAAAAAAGTTATTTTTATTATTTTATTTTGAATTTTGAGTACACCAAAAATAAAAAAATATAATATATGTAATAGTTGCTTAATTGAATCATCTTTAATTGAACTAATTATCTATAAGCGAATACTATCTCACTTTTCTTCCATTTTTCCCCTTGTTTAATTTATCATTAGTTGAAAGAATTATAATGTTAAACGGTGTACAAAATCCAAGAAAAGAAAAAGTGAAAGAGAGGGGAAATGAGGGGTGGAGGGAAGTGTAGATAGTTGGTGATTAATCTTTTTAATTTTATTTACCATAAAATTCAAAATCAGACCAATAATATGAGTTCGTGTATAAATAATTTCAAATTATTTTAATGGAGAAGAGCCTAACTCCATACACTTTATGAGTGTGGATAGTTAGATAAGCCAAAAAGTTGATGTTATGGTATTTGGGTGTCGAAAGGTGGATGAAGGATAGGGGTGGACATTTAGTATTCGTTTTGAGATTTCTAAAATTTGAATTCGGTAATTCAGTATTGTTAGTTAAAAGAAGATATCAAATATCAAATTCCAAGCTTTTAAATTTTGGTTCAATAATCAGTAAATCAAACTTCGATTTGGGATGGTATTTGATAATACCATATTGAATTTATAGCCGATTGCATTACAAAGTTAATATTATTGCTCCAATTATTTTTATTTTCTTTGAAGATGCACGATATAATAGAAGATCAACAAATAAGAAGATTTAAGAGAACTAAAAATTGACACAACTAAAAGACATATGTATTTAAGATTGTTTATGTTTCGTGTTAAACTTTCTCTTTGTACTTGTACTAATAAGTTAAGAACTTGTTGAATTCATTATGTAAATAATTCGATATTTGAAAAAAAATATATTGAATACCAGATAATTCTAGTGCCTCATATCAAGACCAAACTCAAATATCGTAACTCTAAAAATTTACTTTCAAATACCATACGAAATTATCAAATGTCATATTACTAAAAAAAATAGGTTCAATTTTCAATATTTTGTATATAGTTCTAGATGAAAAATAATTTGATAGCAACACAAATAATCAAAGGATATTTTAGGTCCTTTGCATATATATGAGCATAATACAATATATTGGTACAATTTTCAAGAATACTTATACAGTAAAATCTCAATAAATTAATATAGGTGTGGCCATGAAATTTTATTATTTTACAGAGATATTATTTAATAGATATATTAATATTTATAAATTTAAGAACAATTTGAAATTTAATGAAAGTTGATTGTTATTATATCAAAATTATTGTATCTTATTAATTTATGAATCATATTTATTGATTTCACATAAAAAATGTTATACATAAAGTACGATGAATACATCAAAATCATTATATTTTACTAATTTCAACATTGCGATGCTAGGATAATAAAATCATTCAAGATGTATTATCGTAATATATTTTATCGTAGGTTGTTAGAAGACTATGAATTGGGACAAATTGATCCAACAAAGATTAACGTTTTGGATGCTATCAGTCTTGTAATTCCTACTTGGACAACAAATACTCAACAAGCGACATCAGAAAATTATTTTCGACACTGCAAAATTCGTTTGGGGGATGCAATCTCAGAGAATTTGAGTGAACCAATAGGTGAAAATGTCATTTATGAACACGAAATCATGATAATGATCTCGGTTACCACAATAAAATGGATGTCAATAACATATTGAATTATCCGGTGAAAATGATACATGTTCAGAGGGTCAGAGCTTAGAAAAAAATTGGATACCATCGGAAAAAGCAATGTTGATGATGAAGTTGAAGATGATACTATACATTTTAAACCAGTTACGCATAAGAAAACAATTATCACATCTAGAACTCTTCAAAATTTTATGGTGCAACTCAAAAAGACAACATCAGAGCTCTTAGATGCAATAAGAAAAGTTAGAGACGAGTTTCAACTAAATTTAAGTTTTAAGAAAAAATAGAACACAATAGTATCATATTTAAATAAATTATCTTAGATATATTTTTAATTTAAAAAATTATTAATTTATGATATTAATGAGACCATAATTTATATAGGGGTATTTTAGAAATATATTATCTTATTATCTTAATGAACTTAATGTACTTAATGTTCTTTTTAATTGTCTAAACTCGAAATCGAAAAAAATATTATTTTAGAGAGATTATTAATTATCGAATATTAATTTATAGAGGTTTTTTTTGGTGTGGAGGGCAAATGTCAATGAGAAATATATAATGTGGGTCATAGTACAATTATCTAAAATAATAAGGATCGGACTTCGCATTATCAAATAAATTACTTTTACTTTATTTAGAAATGTTTATTTATTCTGTCCTTATTAATGAAGAAAATTTTCATTTCACTTCTCCTTTACTTTCTCTCTCTGCAAAAACAGACTCATTAATAATCAATCATACATAAAACAAAAAACTAGTCAAGTCCGTTAGTCGGTGAACGAATCTCCGGCCATATTCCCGACGTCGGCGTGTGCTCGACTGGAAACACCACTTTTATCTGAGACTCGACTGAAGCACTTTTATCTAAGAATTAGGTGAAGCTGAATCTCCGGTCACATTTCGCCGGAATGTCAGTTCTACCTTACCGGCAACTACTCTGCCGTGAAAATTATTTCAGTTAACAGTCCTCGAAACCCGGATACACGGCCACATTTTCTCCGGAACGTTAGTCTTTCGATTCCACCGACCACTCTACAGGGGTAAACACCTTTAAGCAAACGCACATCGCATTTATCTGACTTCACTCTGATGCTTTTAGCCGCGAAGCTTCAAGTGGAGTTGCTGGTTCTTTTTCTGTTTTCGCTTTCTGCAATCCCTTTCGATCTCATTTGTCTAAGGTAAATTGAACCGTTCTCTCTCTACATACATCTTTTGCTTTGTTTTTCTTTCGTTTTTTGCGTAATTGTGCGTTTCCAGTGAATACATATCCGAATTTTAGTCTGATTTTTACTTAGCTCATCATTTTCTGTGTTTCTTCTTTCCATGATTTACGTGTTGTAAAGAAACTTACTTAGTGCAAAATAGTGAACCCAACACTTCATTCTGAAATTACTTATATCTGTAATCCATGTTTATGTGCCTTAGCTGCGACTGATCTGTATCAGTGTTTTAAAAGGCGGGGTATGAGATGGGGCGTTTCTGCTTAACATGGGTCAAGTGGATCTTTGAATTTTTAATTTATAATATGATAAAATAATATAATAATACAAAATTTCAAACATATATCAATAGTTTAAAATGATTAAAAACATGATTAAGAGTACACGTAGAAAATATAATTTCTAACGTGACTTTACAAGTATAAATAATGTAATGGTATAGATTGTATCTTTGCTATGAATGATACTAGTGCAAAGGTGTGTTCTCTCTTTTTTTGGAGTGTATTTCAGTGAGAAAATTTGTCTGATCTTAAATATACTTCTTGGTCTTTCTCTTGAAGGAATTGTTTAGTAAAATGACTATGGAGCAGTTTTTCAGTCGTGTGAAGATTGAAAACATTTTCATTTGTGGCGTTTGGTTATAACTATAATAAATTAACACCGATCAATGGCGTTTGGTTGAAGAGCATTTTTATGCAAAATTGTGAAAATTTTCTGTTGAAAAACTCTTCAAATTTTTGAATGCCATTATACCTGTAAAAGCATACCTTTTTCCATATTAAACATATGTGGAATGCCTATCTCTTTCTGTAGATATGAATAGAGGTGAGACATTGTTGGTGATTTTAAACGTTTGTAGTTTCGGAAGGGACTATTTGATGTGCACTTTGGGATTTATGCTCTTCATTGTGCAATCTCAGGAATTAAGATGAATGGATTTCAGAATGGCAGGATTCATACCCATGATAAACCTTCTCCAGGATGCTTGGGACGAATGGTGAACCTTTTTGATTTAAATTCAGGGGTGACAGGAAACAGGCTGCTTACAGATAAACCACATCGTGATGGTGAAACTCTATGCAACTTATGTTTATCTGTCTCCTGTTTTTGTTTCCGTTGGCATGAATTTTGTTTCTGTGGAATATCGACAACTTTTTTATCCTATGAATGCATTGAGCATTGAAAACAATGTAAACAAATCACGGTTGTGTCATTTAGTTTGTGCTGAAAAATATCTTGATTTCAATTATAGAAGATATGACCTATGATTCGTCAAACTGCCTGCAAGCATGTCTTGATCTCATTTCACTTTATGCTACCTTCAGTTTTTGACCCTGTAATTTATACTATTTATTACCATGAGGTTGAATCTGCGTGTTGAGCTGGTCCAACTTATTGCAGGTTCACTCTCAAGGAGCCAATCAGATCTGGTGAGGTTGCCACCATCGTCTGAGGATCAAGTAGAAGAAAAAATGGTGCGTCCTCTATCCAGGTGACATTTATTTAGAGAGAAAGGTGCTGATTTTCTGCAGAGTTTGGCTTAATATTAATGATATGGTGCATGCAGGTTGTCTCGGATTTGAAGAGGACTAATTCAAACAGGAAATCAAATGGAATGCCAATGAAGATGCTCATAGCCCAAGAAATGTCCAAGGAAGTAGGTTCTGGTCATAATCCACCTAGTGTTGTTGCTAAGCTGATGGGGCTTGATGCTTTTCCGCAGAAATCTGTTCCAGCTATAAGAAATCATTTTGGAGGTCATTCACGGTGTCATACAGATTCCTCTTTCAGCTATTGCCAGGAAGAAAATGAATCCTTGACGGAAGAACTGCAGCAAGAATTACATCAATACCCCGAGCAGAATGAATATAAAGATGTTTATGAAGTTTGGCGGCACCCCCCAAAAATGAACTCTGTGAGAAGTGAATCCCCACAAAAGGCAAGACACGATGATCAAATTAGTTTTGAAAAGAAGTCAGCTTTTGTTCGTCAGAAGTTTATTGAAGCAAAATGTTTATCCATAGATGAACAACTTCGCCAGTCTAAGGAATTCCAAGATGCATTGGATGTCTTAAGTTCCAACACGGATCTGTTCCTCAAGTTTCTGCAAGAACCAAATCCAATGTTTACTCAGCATTTATCCAATTTGCAGTCTATACCTCCTCCTCCTGAGACGAAGCGAATAACTGTTCTAAGACCATCAAAGATGATTGATGATTGTAAATTTAGTGGATCAGTGAAGAAAAATGAGAAAGATATAAGCAGAGCCATCCATATAGTCCAGGGCAACAAGGCCAAATCTCATATGACATTTTCTCCTCCTATAGCAAATTGGAACATTCACGAAAATCATGCTCAACCTACACGGATAGTCGTATTAAAACCAAGTCTTGGTAAGACTCACAACTTTATTGATGCAAGTTCTTCTCCATCTGCATCACCAAGAGTATCACAAACTGAAACAAGTTTTGTCCACATGGAGGTTGATGAAGCTCAAGAATCAAGAGAAGTGGCAAAGGCTATTACACAGCACATGCGAGTAAACATAGGTGGACATCAAAGGGATGAAACATTACTTTCTTCTGAATTTGCAAATGGCTACATTGGTGATGAAAGCTCATTTAATAAATCTGAAAAACAATATGCAGCTGGAAATGTCAGTGATTCTGAAGTCATGTCACCAGCTTCTAGGCACTCATGGGAATATATCAATAGGTTTGGCAGCCCTTATTCTTGTTCCTCCTTGAGCCGTGCTTCTTATTCCCATGAATCTTCAGTTTCCAGAGAAGCCAAGAAGCGACTCTCGGAGAGATGGGCGATGGTGGCATCTAATGGCAGTTGTCAAGAACAAAGACAAATGAGAAGAAGCAACAGCAGCACTTTAGGTGAAATGCTTGCTCTTTCTGATATTAAGACGACCAGAAGCATAGAGCAGGACAATATTAAAGAAGATCCCCAGATTTCAAATTCCAACTCTCCGAGTAATTCCAAAGATGATGAAGGTAACCACAAGTCACCAAAGAATCTTTTGAGATCTATGTCTGTTCCTGTATCCTCTACTGCATTCAGTTCACAGTTGAATGTGGGTGCCCCAGAAACTGTGACAGGAGAAAATGACCTTTCCAAGCATACAACAAAATCTAGAAGTACAAAATCATCATTGAAAGGGAAGTTCTCAAATCTTTTTTTCTCTAGAGCCAAAAAGCCAAACAAAGATAGAGCCAAGTGTCTGCAATCCAATGATGACTTGCACTCTGGTCCAAAGCCTTTACGTTCTCTATCAGAAATTGACAAATACAGTGGTCAATTCCTTGATGATCCAGGGGCTGAGTGCTCAAGAACCAATCTTCGTGAATCATCATGTGCACTAACTTGCGAAGATTTGGTTGAGAAGCAAACCACAATCTCTCCTGAGGTAAAGCAGTTACCTGATGTTTCTTCCTATTACTGTTGCAAGTTGGAAAATGGTTCATTTGCATTTTACATCAGTATTTTGTTTGTGGTTTCCATCTACACATCTTTTACGTCATATGCATTTACAATTTCTTGCATATTTTATGAGATCACTCTGTGCTGGCTTTAAGAAAATTCTCTTTTTTCTTTTTAATGTGCGGGAATTGTCTGAAAATGGAGAACTCAAATAGCGTCAAGATGACTACTTAAGAAGTTCAAAGCGAATTTATGTTATACCTCTTTTGTAGGTTGTGTTCTCTGGATCAAGATCTGTGTGCGCTAGATACCTATGTGAGAACCAGGATCAGCCAAGTCCTATATCAGTTTTGGAGACACCATTTGAAGAGGATGACCATCTAGCATGTATATCATCTGGAGGTATCAAGCCAGACCGTCATGGTAAATGTCAACGATCTCCCATAATTCTTGGCTTTCCTTTTCTTTCTTGGTATAAAACTAAATCTATTCCTCCCACCCCTATCAAATTAACAGGTGCCGAGTTATCTGTTCACTCTTTAAGGTCCAATTTGATTGACAAATCTCCTCCAATAGGATCAATTGCACGTACATTGTCATGGGATGATACTTGTGCAGATACAGCCAGTTCAGTTTGTGTAAGACCATCATCATCCACTCAGAGGACAGAGGAAGTAGAACGTGAATGGTTCTCTTTTGTTCAAACATTACTAACCGTGGCTGGCCTTGATGAAGTGCAGCCTGATGCTTTCTCAACCATGTGGCAATGGCATTCTCCTGAAAGCCCTTTGGACCCATCACTCAGAGAAAAATACATTGATCTGAATGAGAAGGAGACACTACACGAGTCTAAGCGAAGGCAAAGGAGATCAACTCAAAAGCTTGTGTTCGATTGTGTAAATGCAGCTTTACTAGAAATTGCAGAATATGGGGCAGACAACTTCCAAAAAGCCATACCTTATATGGGGGTCCATAATAATCTACCACAGGGAACAACTAGACTAGTATTATTGGAACAAGTGTGGGACTGGATGAAGGAATGGTTTTCTAGTGAAATGAAATATCTGTCTACTGATGGTGGGGACTTAAACAGCCTGGTGGTTGAGGAAATGGTAGGGAAGGAGGTGATGGGCAAAATGTGGCTTGGAAACTTGAGAATTGAATTAGACAATGTAGGAGTCGAAATTGAAGAGAAGTTGCTCGAAGAGCTTGTGAATGAATCCGTCGTTGAATTGACAGGTAAAATGTGATGACCCTTGTCCAATTCTTCTTCTGTTTTTGCTTTTTTTCTTTCACAATTATATAATATTATTGTTGTTTGTGTATTATTGTATTTGCAAATAACACTGCCTACAAGTAATTTGTTTAATTTTGTGAAGTGTATGAAAATCTGTACTGATCTATATCTTAAATTATTTTGTATATACATATATGCTTTGAGGGGAACCATATGATAGATAGATAGATATTGGTGTTTTGACTTTCCTGAGTCAAGACATAGATGTGTCTTCTGTTTATTAACCACTAGAATATTCTTAGCTGTAAAGAAGATGTTCCTTGTTTGTATTTGCAGTACAAATTTACCAGCTAGATATTTTTAACCACAAGTCAAAAACAAGGGTGAGTGAGGAGGAAAAATGTTGTGACTGGCAGCTGAACAACTCTTTTGACTATTTGTTCAACTGAATTATTGTTGTTTTGAATAACTAGAAAAATGAACGGGAACACCGACAAGATATGAGCAAGAAAAAGATGTTTTGTCATGGTATGTGCAGTTCTATGAAAGTGACACTGCACTGTGCACAACCAAATCTAGAACCATCACATGCATACCAACTACAATATCATACTCTTTTCTTTATTAAATAAATTAAAATAATTGGGGATGGGTTGCTGAAAGGTGTTGTTTGCAGTAACTTAAAATATGTGGGTTCGATCACGCCTTGATATGATTTTTATGAATATTCGAAATCTTGATCTTTATGAATACTCAATAATTTATGAGATATTCAAGACGGCTTTTTACGAGAAAGACAACATTTTATTATGATCTCTTTATGAGATGACGTTTCAAGTAAATATAATATCCCTTATATATTGAGCATAATGTTCCAACTAATATTGGACATGTCTGGTGGAATCATGCCTACAGATGCTTCATGAAATTTATGAACCTTAATAAAAGTTTAAAATGTTATCTACCCTTCCACAATTGCAATTGCCAAGATATGCACACTGTCCTTTTCCTTACAAATAGAGAAAACAATAATTCTAAATATGAAAAAGAAAAAAAAACATTTGAGGATCCTCACTCCTATCATGTTCTGTGAGAATGTGAGTGATGCTGCATACAGCCAACACTAAAGTATATATGTATTTCCGAAAAATAAGTGAATCAATCAGGCTTCGAAAATTATACATCTCTACTCGTACACAATTGTTGCAACATTTGGAAGAATTTTAAAAGAGAGATCAAATTTCACTAAACTTAGAAATGCACTCTAGTAAAGTGCTTCTCAACAAAGGAAATGTTATATTAACAAGCGAGATAAGTATATCTCTACATGCCAGCTTTGCAATGTCTTTCTGCAGACATATGTACACTGCCTTACATAAACAGACAACAAACGAAGGGTCTATAGTTTATGGTACACACACAATCACTGAAAAAGGCTTCATTCTCAGCCGTGTTGCCAGTTTATCTAATCCATGAGATTCAACGTCACATCCTCATGATGGATTTGGGTTTGGTATATGATGTATTGCTTCTCCGTCCAAATGATACTGGATTCCAAAGATCAACAACGAAAATAAATATTTCAGAAATATAAATTGGTCTGGTGTAAAGACTGGATCAACAGAACATACATAAACAGCCTTGTTGAAGAAGAAAAGGCAGATGAAGTTCATAAGTACTCAGCAATGCAATAAAGCACCTAAGTTCACATGTTCCAAAATTAACATATCTCATATACATTACTAATGACGAGGAAGAAAATGATGGACGGTATCGTTTCAAAATGCAATGCTATCCGTCATTTTTATTATTTTTACAAAAAATGACAGACAGTGACTCTATGACTGTCACCTTTTTTGCACCAAATATATATATATATATATATATAAAAACCTCAAAGATTAGCCAGAAGGCTGCTAAGCAAATCAAATACCAGCCTAATTGATGCCCTTTAATGCATTCCATTGAAAACTCAATGGAAGATGACAGACATATATTATACATCTTTAGAACTTACCTTTTCCCTCATCCGTGAACTCCAGATGTCAGAATGGCCACCTCTTGCATCACCTTTAGCCAACCCAGATGTTTGGCTTATACGTGGATCAAGCAGTGGCTCCCTTGTTCTTCCAACAACATCATAATCTCCCTCCATATCATTTAGTTTAGGGCTACTAACCAAAGTTCTGAGAACAACTGCGAGAAACAAGGAGAATGCCTGGAAATGATGGTAAGAATAAGATTTTAGCACAACATGGACCATAAACCAAACGAACAGTTAGAAGAATCTTTAAAATACTAAATCAATCACAAGAGCACAAGCCAGAAACTACAAGTGGGTTGATTTACAACTGTTTTGACCATGTCTTTCATTCTTGTCCACCACTCGTGCTCATAAGTTGATAAAAACACAAATTTTAGCATGTATCATATAGTATATACCAGGGAATTTCACGTCCCTTACCCAGCAAAAGAAAACATACTATCTGTACACAAGATCTTTTGATCCTCTTTCCTTGGCCAAAGGCTAAGTTGATTAATATAAAATCAGTCAAAGTTGATGCAACACCTTTTCAAAAATAATAATGGCATATTCTACCTATTCTAAAGCATGTTCCAGACAGCATATACATTAGTAATCCCAACTCTCTCAATTTCCACCTTAACGAGAAGCATCACCTAATCTGAAATCTGGATGAAGGTATTCAAAAACAAACAAGGAACACAAAATAAAATCTTAGAAGACCTTCAAGTTCAAAGAAAACCTGCCTGTATTACGATGACAACAATGCCAATCCACTTACAAACATCCATATTTTGTTGAATAAAGATGCGGAGGCTGTGAAGTTCTCCAGTTGGGTCCGTCGGAAGATCCTAGGAAGAGACAAAACAGGTGTCCGAATTTGAAATATTAACAGGTAAACCAGGATAGAAACTCTACACCAGGAGAAGAGTAGATTTGAAACAAACAGCTCACCTTCTCCCAATGATGATCAATTGCAACAAATGCTACCAGACTTACTTCCAGGAGTACTAAAGTCATCATTAGCAGAGAGTACTAGTATTTTTAAGTGGTCAAGGCTAGCAGTCAGTCAGTTAATAGTTGTCTATATCAATTCATGAATTAGAACTTAATTGAAGAAGTATAATGATGACCAATGGGACAACTTAACTTTTATTTTTCATTTGGTCATAGTATATGTCGGAAAAGAAACAAAAAGACATAGTAAAATTAAGGGGGAAGACTTATGATAATAGTAACCTCAAGAGAGTCTAGAGACTTGCTTTCCCTTAGGATTGATCCAAATTCCTTCTCTTCACAAAATGAGAACATGAAGAGCTTTTTGTGTCGGTCTCCTCTACACCCTTCCCTCTTGACTTGTTTTTTTTGAAGCATGACAAAGGGTATATCGTCTTATCTATGTCGGCATCTCATCAATGAGCGCAGATTAATAGCCAAGAACATCAATAAAATCCAAGCCAATGAAATTTTAAGTGAGAAGTTAATCATCCCCGCGATCTAGACCAAGTGAAGTGCACCAAGGATGAGAAGGGCAATGTACAGGTGGCAGATGAACTTGTCAGACAAAGTTGACCGACATACTTCACAAACTCTTGATTGAAGAGGAGAACAAGAGTGATGTGTTGGGGGATCCAGATCACTCTGAGAGCCATCGAGATTTTAGGTACTGTAGGCGCATTAAGCTTGAAGAAGTAGAGGGGTTATGCATAAGATAAGCAGGGGTAGAGTGACCAGACCGGATGAGATTCCGATGGAATTCTAAAAAGCGCAGGCAGAGCGGAGCTAGAATGGTTACCTGATTGTTTGATGTCATCTTTAGGACTACAAAGATGCCCTAGGATTGAAGGTGGAGTACTATTATTTTGTTGTAGAAGATTTAAAATTGCAATAACTCTAAGGGTATCAAGTTTGGAGAGAAGGGTTGAGATAAGAGTAAGGAGGAGGGTTTCTAGTTCCGAGAACCAATTCTTCATGCCAAGGCGATTGACTATGAAAGTCATCTACCTTGTACGGAGATTGGTGGAGCAGTAGAGGAAAAGGAAGAGGGACTTTCATGTGATGTTCATTCATCTTGAAGAAGCATATGACAGTTTGAGAGAGGTTTTATGAAGAAGCGGGGACTAGTGTTTCAATCTTATACATTAGGGCTATTAAGGACATGTATAATGGGGCTAACATCCATGTGTGGATAAGGGGAGGAGACACTGGTCACTTTCTAGTGGTAATGGGATTGCATTAGGGGTCGGCTCTTAGCCCATTTTTATTTGCTTTGGCAATGGATGCTCTGACTTGTCGCATTCATTGAGAGGTCCCTGGTGCATGTTATTTGTTGATGACATGTACTGATTGATGAGATGCATAGCGGAGTTAACGACAAGCTTGTGTATGGAGACAAACCCTGCAGACTGAGTAGGACTAAGACAAAGTACGTGGAGTGCAAGTTCATTGATCTGCCTCGTGTAGCGGACGTGGAAGTGAGGTTAGATTTTCAAGTCATCTCCGAAAAATGGATTTTGAAGTACCTGGGGGCTATTATTCAAGGCAATAGAGAGATTGACGAGGATGTCGCACATTGTATTGGTGCGGGATGGTTGAAATGGAGACTAGCTTTTGGTGCGGGATGGTTAAAATAGAGACTAGCTTTTGATGTCTTATCTGATTAAATGTGTCACTAAGACTTAAAGGTAAGTTCTACTCAATATTATTAAGATCGACTTTGTTGAACGAGGCAAGAGTGTTGGCTAGTCAAGAACTTCAATACCCAAAAGATAAAAGTTTTGGAAATAGAATGTTAAGATGAATCTGTAGGCTTACTAGGGAAGATGTGATAAAATCATAAAAAATGAAGATATTTGAGCCAAAGTGGAAGTGACCTCCGTGGTGGACAATATGCAAGAGTCTAGACTGAGATGGTTTAGACATATCAAGAGGAGATGCATGGATAGCCCAATGAGGAGGTGTGATAGGCTGATGGTGGAGGGACTGAAGAAAGATAGGGGTAGACCAAAGAAGTCTTGGAGAGAGGTAATTAGCAAAACATGGTAACTCGAAAAACATGGAAATCCTTCGACTTATAATAGGAGGGTATGGAGGTCGAGTATTCAGGTAGAAGGCAGAAGGCTACTAGTAGATAGTTTTACGCCTAGTTTCTCTGGCTTGTAATAGTGGTATTAATTTCGACATTTATATTATTTTACCACGTCCATATTCTTATTATTTTCTATTACTACTTGTTGTCTCATACGCCTCTACTTTCTTACTTTCATGCTATTGCTTCCGTCTTCATATGTTGTGTCTTTGCTTCTTTAAGCCGAGGGTCATTTGGAAACAAACTCTCTACCTAACAAGGTAAAGGTAAGGTTTGCTTACGTACACTCTACCCTCGCCATACACCACTTGTGGTGCTATACTGAGTATGTTGTTGTTGAAGTTAGCATTTCCCGCTATAGTCAAAAACTGGAAACCCGGAAGCTCCCTACTAAGATCAGAATATACATTCAAGACAATTCATGTTTTTAGTTTTTTACTTCTTAAAAAATATCCCTTTCATCATATACTCTCCAAACAGATTAGTGTGAAGAATGAAACACTCCAGTGCCGAGTTACTCATATCATGCAACTCCTATTCAGAGACAACAAATAAATAAGCATCCACCTATGACAGAGCTTAATGCACGTAAGTTCTAACTAGCATGTCAGTTTCTTTCAGCTACATAATCAACCCAAAAGTTATGCATTATAGGTCACACACAATAAGCAGTGGAACACAAAAGAGTAAAAAGGATACAAAGCAAAGGCAACATCCATTAACAGCTTCAGCACCAACATGCCCAATACAAGTGATACAACATAAGATAACACCAATTCCCATGAAGGCATATATAAACCTGAAGAAACAAAAATAGCATTTCAATAGCTAATGATTCGCCAAAAGAATTGTTCAGTTATATTTGAATAGGAAAATATTAATAGCTGAGTTGGTTAACTGCCCCTCCCCCATTTCTCCCTAGCGTAACTCCCCGATGTATTAAACCCTTACGCCCTTCGCCACTCCAATTTTTTACAAATACAATCTCAAACATCAAATTCCTGATTCGGTAAAGAAATAAAAACAGGAAACAAACATTACCAGGGAGCTGGAAGCGAATTTTTGTTCAACTCTGGTAAAGCGGAGACGACAGAATTTGAAACGTCAACTGAGACGAAATTGTGGAATTGGGCGTCATGAACATCGTTGTGATGGTGGTGGTGCCAGTGGTTAAGCATATATGCAGAGTAAATGACGATGGAGACCCCAATGAAAGCTTGTAAGAAATTGAGGAATTTCAAAAGGAATGCGGTGAAACCTTGGCAACATGGCGTTGGCATTCTGAGATTCCCCGTCTACACAGAAACCCTAATAATTGTAGAATTGCTTCCCTCTATGCTCTGTTCCTCGTTCTGTACATTTTTGGTCAAGCAAAAAACTGTGGATGATGATGATTGAGCTGGCAAAAGGTTTTGTTTTTTACTTTTTGTTTTCCTTTTCAGTTAAGTAAAATACAATTATTGGGCCAGGTATTATGGGGCAAGTGCACAAATATTTGCTTTTTGGGTCATCGTTTTAGAGAAAATAACAAAATTATCCCTTTTATATGATCTTATTTTTAATTTAGGCCGAACTCATAAACACTTCCCGAAATTTGTGGGTTTTCCTCTTATGTAACTTAACTACTTTATTTTTCTATTTAATCTTTGAACCATCTATTATTTGTTCTTTAGAAATACTGTAGATTGATATAACACAAATTGTGATCTCACGTTAGTTGAGCACGTGAAGACGTTTTAAAGGCGCTGATGTGAATCCATGAACCATTGACCAACGCTAATCTTCCCCTTTAACCCTAATTTCTCCTTTTTTCGGTTATTTTCCTCTTTTCTTTCTCTTCTTCATCAATAAGTTGGAGTTGTTCATCAGAATATATCTCTTGTTCCATTGATTTATTTTTTATCATCAAGTTCTAATGTTGAAGTTATCTTGTTCATCGATTTCTTCTTCTTCAATCAGAAGTGTTCTCGGGGAAAATGAAGTGGCTTTGGGTTTGAAAAATGATTACGTGGCGCTGATGTATAAATGAATTGAAGTTTGATTGGTTTCAATTTTCACGTAGGAAAGGTGGATCTCACGCACACAATCAACAGAAAATATTTACGAAAGTTTTGTGTCACATAGCTCAAAGTGTTAAAAATAAACAGATTATGGATGATTCAAGTATCCAATGAAAAAATGACATAGTTGAGTTCAAGGAAAAACCTCGACAAATTTAGGAATTGGTTTATGTGTTTGGCAATTAAAATAGTTACATAACTATGCATTTAACACTTCTAATCCTTTTAAGTTTATCATAAGCTAACAAAAATGGTCTTTTAAATATGTATTTAACAGAAAAATTATTTGTTAAATTCGACAGGAACTATAAATTTTTGTTTAATGAGAACTTACATTTAAATGTATGTGCATATTATTTCCTCTCATTACTTTTACTTATCATTATTTTTAAAATAAACTTTTATTTTTTATTTGTTACTTTTAACATATTAAAAAAATATAATTATTTTTTTCTATGGTTTATCCTTGGCTTTAAATACTTTTCTCCATATCATTTTTCAATATTAAATATTAGTTAGTAAAGATAATATAATAAAATACATATATCAATATCTATTTTTTAATATATGTGTCAAATCAAACAATGATAACTAAAAAACGAACGGCAAATAATGAAAATATCAAATGCACAATATCATGGAAAAAATTGATGGACTTCACGGTTTCAAAAAAGGAAAAAAAAATTCCCTGAACTAGGTCCGAAAATTCACTTTAGCACTTAAACTACACCGCCGTTTAAATACCCTCTTAACATTTTTGAAATGAATTAAAAACCACCATGAGATTATTATTCCACTCTCACTTGTCACATTATAGTCATGTAAGTGCCGCAACAATGTCATATCAACACCACGTCATTAATTATTTTCATCATTTTTCTTTGACACTTTTTAAAATTAATTTACACTAATTAATTAATTCAAAATGCATTTTCTAAAATTAAAATTAAAAACGTTGACCCATTTTTATTTTATACCATACGCAGCCCCCACCCACCCTCTCACTTCTTTCTTCATCCTTCTTCACCATTTTTAGCTCTTCAACAGTGGGGGAGGGAGGATTTTCATCTAGGGGGTTAAAAAAAAATCACATAAATAATATCCATAAATAAATGGGTCGAATCAGATATAAATGGGTCGGACAAAATATATAATATATCTAAAACTTAAATAGATCAAGTTTTCAATAACGATCGATCCAACAGAAGCAACAAGCAGCCGCCAACGCCCAACGCCCAACGACAAGAAAGAAGAGACGATGAAAAATAAAACATGGAAAAATCCTAAAAGAAGAAAAGGGTTTTTAATATTTAACTTTGTAATTAGTAATTAAACTAATAAACCTAAATTTCCTATGAGGGTTTTAATTTTTTGGAACTAAAATCGTGTTTTGATTCCATTATTATTTTAAAAAGGCAAATTCTGATTCCATTATTATTTAAAAAAAGAAGCAATTTCTGATTTCATTATTATTTTAAAAAACAATTAAAACGCCTAAAATATATAGATGATAAAAAATTACCTCCTTCCGAATTCGAACTCGCAACCTCACGTGCCTCAAGGCAGATTCTTGAACCCCCAATACTACTGAGCTATGCATTTGGTGTATGTTCAGGGGGTTACAAGTCATCGTGGTGGTAACTCTACATAGAGGAATGGAGACATAAGGATTTTTTAATGGTTTCTAAGTTTGATACATGGTATATCAATAGTGTATCCACGGGATAACACATGTAGAAACCACCTATGTGAGTGTGAAGTGTAAGCCGCTTCGATGAGAATCCGTTAAGGCCACTTCTCTAAGCACTTACTAACCGAGATGTGTTCATGGCTGAAACAGACAAAACAATGAGAACTAATAACAGTTCAAGGGTTGATTGTGTGACTTATGTTGTCTAGGTATACACCAAAGCTCGACGGTTCAAAGATATCAAATCTATCGATTGACCGAGTATATTCGGCATATGTTCACTACGAAAAGTTTAAAAGAAAACCTACTTATCCAGATGTGATTAACCCTTACTTACAAGACATACAAGTTTTTCATACATATGTTTTAACAATAGTCATTCCCCATTCATGTGGGGGATTGTTGGGTTTTAGCAAAATGTGAATGGGAAAAGAGAAGAGAAAAATGGAAAAGTGAAGGAACAATTTTTGGAGGGAAAATGAAAAGTCATTTGCAAAGTACAAATGAAAAGTTATTTTTCCCATAAGAAACAACTCCTATACTTCTTAAAGGGCTAAGAAGAAGGTGCCCCTCGCGCCGTCGTCGTCCCTCGCTTGGCCTTGGCTTCGGCTTTGACATTTGGCATTTGACATTTGACAAATGATTTGATTGATAAATTTTGTGGACAAAATTTATTTGGTCAATTCTGTTAATCAATTTCTTTTCTCTTATAAATTAATTTAGAATGTTAATTAAATAACATAATTAATTTTGGTGCAACGAAATTTATTTGAAATTCGTTGCAACGGTGATAACAATCTGATTTTTGAAAAGTCATTATTTTTTTCTCAAAAGACACACTTTCCAAAAAGTTGTTATTTTTTTAAAAGACACAACTTTCTGGAAAAAACAGACTTAAACAGATTTTTCTAAACAGTTTTCGTTTTTCAAACAACGAAAATTTTTCCTTCTCTCTGCATACATTTTCTCTTATAAACAAAAAGTGTCAAACGGCTGAATCTGTGTTTGGCTTGTTACTGTTCTTAGTTTGTTGAAGTTATTGAAGTTTGAGGTACCGCTACTTCTTTAATAGGTTAATTCATTTTATCCTAGAAATTAATCTGCAACCTCAGGTATAGTGAGGGGATCAAATTTCTTAAGTAAGAAAAAATAGTTTCTGTGGACTCGAATTAAAAGTTTTTCTGTCTATTTCATCTTGTTTCTGTTTCTGTATTTTTGGCTAACCGTAATACATGTTATAACACTAGCCTCTTTTTAGCTATTTCAGTTTAATTTATTTCAATCCAAGTAACTTTTAGGCTTATTTAATCCAATCTATTTATTAACTCAATTTATTTTAATTTATCTAATTTCATCTCAACTTGTCCATTTAACACCCCATATTCGAATAAGAACTCCAACAATAGAGACAATGAGAATGAAGAGCCGGATCCATCTTTTACAATATTCACGCGTAAAACTTATAGTTTGTAGTTTTAACGCACAAATGGCAAAACAAAACAAAACAAATTTGAAGAGTCGGTGGAGATTGATCAGCCACCTGCACATGAACTTTAAATCCTTAGAGCTCTCTAGTATACACATGAAATTATTCCCAAGGTGTAAAAATTGAACTCAATAGTCAAAATTCTTGTTCTTTTGCTCAATTGACCCCATATTTTACTCACTCACCTATTTATTATATTTCAACCAACAACAAAAACAAATCCAAATACTCTTCCTATATAAACAAATGCCTCATTGCTCAACTCATTTACACTAAATTTTTGTGTAGTCTTTTTTTTTTTTTCACAATGGGTCATCCAGATTTTGCTATCACCTTAGTTATTTGCGTAGCCATTGTTATAACAACTACTTTTGTAACATACTCTGAGGGTGCACCTCGTGCTTTTTTTGTGTTTGGAGACTCACTTGTTGACAATGGCAATAACAACTTCTTGGCAACTACTGCTCGAGCTGATTCTCCTCCTTATGGTGTTGATTATCCAACTCATCGTCCTACTGGCCGTTTCTCCAACGGATTAAACATTGCTGATCTTATAAGTAAGTGTGAAAATTGTCTTTTTTTGTGACATTATTAAAGGCTCTTTTAGATTTTCCAAATAATATTTGGGGGAAAATTTATTAAATAGTATTATTTCATACAATTTGTCATTATTTGCTAAATATTTTGACTTTCTTAATAATAATTTTTTTTTCTAATATTTGAATCAAATTTCATTATTCGGGACCTTTTAAAAATTGAAATTTTAAACCATTTACAAAAACACCTTCTATAGTAGTTGTTGTGTTGTATTACATAATTTTTTACGTGAACACCAAAGTAGTGATGAGATAATATGAAAGTGATGACATGATTGTTGATGAAAATGATAAACAATCGGCTCAAGGTAACAAAGTCATGTGCTTTGTTTAATTTATGATATATGAAATGATGTTTGTTGCAGTCACTATCATATTAATCTAGTGTCATGGACACTACTTGTTAATTGTTGTAATTAAGATTCAATTGACTTGTAATATAATTTTATGGTCAGTTTTGATAGTTTTTAAAACTTATGGGTATAAATCATATTTTCTTAAAAGTGAAACATGTTTCCAAAATATTATGGTCAAATACATGATGAAATTTTACCCAAATAATATTTATCAAGAATATTTAGAAATCTATGATCAAACGCTAGCTAAAT